ACTTAGACTCCAGTAGTATTAACTTCAAGGAAGGAGGCCAAGCAGGATATTTATGTCTTTTTCACATGATTATAAAGTCGCAACCCGGTTACTAAGAAATCGGAACTCCTTCAGCAGAATGACGAAAAAATCCCGACTTGGAACTCATCATTTTTGTAATAAGGAAGGAGTCCAGAACTTGGACTTCAGTATTATTACCTTCAGTCCAGGAGATCAGACTGAATATTTATGTCTTTTTGTTAGTTCGACTGATTTTTGTTAATTTATGTAGAATAACCAAATACAAAATTAAATTAATTATGTTTGTTATTTAATATCGTAGAAAATTAAATGTATGCTTAATTTTAATTAATAAATAAGCTTATTAATTAAATTAGCAGATATTAATTAAATTAGTATAAAATTAAATTAATTAAGTGTCGTACTAGTTTGACCAAGTGAATGGCCGGAATTTACTAAATATATAACGGAAGTATTAAATTGTCGAAGTATATTACATTAATATGAAATTGACAATTTCTAATAAATTAGGATGAAATGTAAAATATGGACTGAAAATTGAAAATCGTTCTAAAGGTACTTAAAATAACAATACACATTGACATTAAACATTGCACAATTTCAATTTATATTAGTAATATTTTTGGTTTATATATGTCACTCCGTCATTATGTATAAAATGTAGTACTCCCTCCGTCCCAAAAACATAGTCAACATTGAGTTTTGAGTTTTGTACTATTTTTAATACAAATTTGTAAACTCAATGTGGACTATTTTTTTTAGGACAGAGATAGTATCTTTTAGGAAAATCAAATAAAAAAATATTACTATAGAGATGTCATATAAAGCACTATATATCTTTATAATTTTTTTTTTTTTATCTTTGAGTGTGGATACTCAGAGAAGATAATCAGCAGAATCATAAACTGACTAGGTATTCAAGCTCTGAATGTTAAGGATGGAAAATGGAAAAAAGAGTTAAAACACATCTGGAAGAATACAAAGATCAAGAAGGAGGTTCTGTATGCTGTAGTAATGGCAAGTATCTACATGGTCTGGGAGGAAAGGAACAAATGCCTGTTTGAAGCGCAAAGTAGAACAGAAGAGCTGCTATTTGAAGAGATCAAAGAGACTGTTGGAATTAGAGTGAAACAGAAATATAGTTATAAAAGCTCAAGTAGTGAGAAACAATGTATAGAATAATGGTTAAGAACAGGATTGTGAAATCAGCAAGTTGTAATAGTGACTTAGAAAAATCGGCATGTAAATGACTCAGAAGGGAGTATTTTTTGATAATACAAATTTGCATTTTTATCAAAGAAAAAAAAACATTACTACTGTATCTTTAGCAGATGAAATCAATTAACCGGGCTTTTACTCCTTGCAGGTTTTGATGGGGAAAGCAATATAAAGGGACTCTAGACGCTCACACACACACACACACACACACACACACACATATATATATATATATATATTTTGGTCAAGAAGTGATAAAAATTCCTAAATTAATTATGTATAAGTGAGCTAGCTATATTATGCATATACGGTATACCCTTACAAACTAGGCATAATTTAAATGAATTGTGTGAATTTATGATTTTTTTTTTCTAACGCGAGTAACTTCATGAAGAGGCAATAACAAGAGATTTGTGGGGAAAAAATTCTTTGTCAGTGGCAAAATATGAGTTGTTGAACTATTTTAGCATAATGAATATGAAATTTCTTTCAAATGGAGAAAGTATTTATACTCTTTTGATGGTTTTTTACGCTTATATTTAATCTAGTTTGGCTTACCTAAAAAAAGATGCAATATCTGTTGTATTCCTATAACACAAGGAAAAAAACATGTTGAGGTATATTTCTTTTGTTCCTTTCGTCTTCAAAGAGAAAATTTTATTAGTTACTTCACTTATTTCCTTAGATTACATTAGTTACTTTCTCACTTATCCGCTAGCTTTTGGGTTGCTTCATAAAATTCGAGGCAAATTATCCAGTATACCCGGGGGCACCGTGCCCCCCTCCTATTTTTTGCACGAGTAGTCCTTATTGTATTTTTCATCAATCTTTCTATGATTTGCAAGGATAGTCCTTGTCATTTTTTCTCTCTCTTTAAAAAAAAAACATCTCCAATCTTTCAACGAGCATATCTCCCAATCCGTGAAGAATTTGTGAACGAATTATACATGAAAATTATAGTACTCGTCGAGATCTATTCAACAAGATCCATTTCGAATATTTTTTTTGAGTTTAAAAATGACTAAATTTCTTTGGGCAGAATTAAGTTGGATATCCGATAAGTTGGATAACCAGTATGCACGAGTTGGATAACCAGTATGAACAAAGTGGATAACTAGTTCAAATAATTTGGATAACCATGTAAATCCATTGGATAACCAGCATTAGCGCATTGGATAATCCAATACAAACCAATGATTGGATAACCAATACAAACGAGTTGGATAACCAACTTAGTTTATTATTTTTTAAAAAAATAATAAAAAAAACCAGGTTGGATAAATAATACTAATTAGTTAGATAAACAGTATTAACATAAATAATCAAGATGGATAACCAACTTATTTTACATTCATATTATTCTTTTCCTTGTATCTAATGATTCGTAAAGAATTATAACACGAATTATATATGAAATTTATAGTACTCGACGAGATCTATCCAATAAGATCCATGCTGAATATTTTTTTTGAACTTTAAATGCATTTAAACTTTACGGGCAGAAAATGAAGAAATGTGTTTTTCGTTTTTTTTTTGAAAAATGGTTATCCAATCGGTTTGGACTGATTATCCATTCTGTTCGTACTTGTTATCCAATCATATGTTTGACATTCACTCTTCAAAAAAAAAAAAAAGATGGATATCCACCTCTATTCTATTCTGCCCGTCAGAATTAAGTCATTTTTAAGCCCAAAAAATGTTCACTGTGAATTTCGTTGGGTAGATCTCGACGAGTACTATAAATTTCATATATAATTTGTTCACAAATTCTTCACGGATTGGGAGATATGCTCGTTGAAAGATTAGAGTTGGATATGCATACAAACCAAATGGATGGATATCCAGTACAAATAAGTTGGATAACCAACATGAACACAGTGGATAACCAGTTTAAGAAGATGGATAACCAACTTATTTTACATGCATATCGTTGTGTTCCTTGTATCTTTTGATTCGTAAAGAATTATAACACGAATTATATATGTAATTTATAGTGCTCGACGAGATCTATCCGATAAGATCCATGTTGAATATTTTTTTGAACTTTAAATGCATTTAAACTTTACGGGCAAAAAATAAAGAAATGTGTTTTTCGTTTTTCTTTGAAAAATGGTTATCCGTTGTGTTCATGCTGATTATCCAACCGGTTTGGAGTGATTATCCATTCGGTTCGTACTTGTTATCCAATCATATGTTTGACATTCACTCTTCAAAAAAAAAAAAAAAAGAAGATGGATAACCACCTCTATTCTGCCCGTCAGAATTAAGTCATTTTTAAGCCGAAAAAATGTTCACTGTGGATTTCGTTGGATAGATCTCGACGAGTACTATAAATTTCATATATAATTCGTTCACAAATTCTTCACGGATTGGGAGATATGCTCGTTGAAATATTAGAGTTGGATATGCATACAAACCAAATGGATGGATATCCAGTATAAACAAGTTGGATAATCAGCATGAACACAGTGGATAACCAATACAAATAATTTGGATAAGCATGTAAGTCCATTGAATAACCAGTATTAGTGCATTGGATAATCAATATGAACACATTGGATATCCAGTTTAAGAAGATGGATAACCAACTTATTTTGAATTAAGAAGTTGGATAACCAAATAGATAAGCAGTAGAAACAAAATGGATAACCAGTTTAAACTGATTGGATAATCAGCATGAACACAATGGATAACCAATTTAGAACAAGTTGGTTATCCATCTTGTAAAACTGGATATCCACCCCTATTCTGTCTATCAGAATTAAGTGATTTTTAAGCTCGAAAAAATATTCACTATGGATTTTGTTGGATAATCTCGACGAGTGCTATAAATTTCATATACAATTCGTTCACAAATTCTTTACGCATTGAGAGATATGGTCGTTTAAAGATTAGGGATGTTTTTTTTGGTAGAGAGAGAAAAAAACGCACAGGGACTAAACGTGTAAAATATAGAAAGACTGAGAAAAAAGTACAATAAGGACTAAAAATGTAAAAAATAGGAAGGGGGCACGGTGCCCCCGGGTATACTGGATACAGCCTCAAATTCGATAATTGTTAACCTTAAAAAATGCTTTTGGCCATGTTATCCAAAGTCCATTAATCTTTTTTTGTAAACAAATAAATAAATATACTCTGTGTGTTCTGAAAAATAATATAATTTGAAAACTAAAATCTGTAAATTGAATAAGCTGACTTTTCAAATAAAAAATTAATATGAAAAAATAGAATAAAATATCATACTTATGTATGAACTTTATGATAATTTTTAGACAAAAAGTCGCATACCTCTAACTTTAAGATTTTATAATTTTCTTCCACAAAAAAAAAAAATTATAATTTTCAAAATTGGACTATTATTCGAGAACGCAAGGAGTAATCGAAATACTTTGCTACTCCAACTTTACAATTTATATAATCAAGAAGCAAATTAGAACTAAAAGCAAAATACAGGGGGGTAAATTCAAAGGGTTATATGACTTTTTTAGCCCATGTTCTTCGTTGTCCTGATGATTTTAGCAGTCGCTAAAGTCGCTTCTGTTCGTTTAAGGGTTTAAGCTAAAAACCTGCACATGAACCGCCACAAGAGCATAAACCCTTTCTTTCCAACTCTTTCTTCCTAAACCAAATTCTCAAATTCACTAACAGAGGAAAAAGTTCCCCGTTCTCAGGCCCATCTCTCTAGCCTCTCTGTAATCCTTGTCGATTCAATTTGCCGATTCCTCTGCCACGCAGCTCTGTACTAGGTTGGACTTTCTAAGATGGCTCAAACTACTGAGGTATTGCAATCGTTTTCTCTTCGAATTTGTATATGTATTTTGCACCCATTTTGTTTCTTTTGCTTCCTGCTGTAATTTATGGTATGATGATTATTGGAAATTTGTGTTCATTTATCTTAGGGTGGTGCGACTGAAGAAGTGGAGAAAATCCTTTTCAATTTTATGACTAATGAAGAGGTGAAGAGGCACAGTGTTGTAAAAGTTATCAATCCACTTTTACTTGATGGTTTGGGACGCCCAACACCTGGCGGGCTCTACGATCCAGCCTTGGGCCCTTTTGATGAAATATCTTCGTAAGTTTTTTTCCAAATTTCTTGTTCTTGATTTGCATCTTTTGATCCTTTGGCGGTATGGTTTAGAGTAAACCCATCCTTTGTGCTTGATAAGTATATTTTACTCATATGTGGTGTTTTTGCTTGTTTGAGAATTAAAAAGTTGAGTTGCCATTGTTCGTCTTGGTTTCAATTGAATAGGGATTTAGAAAAGTTGAGATGCTATTACTTGGTTTGCTCTTTTGTTGTTCAGATATAAACGAGAATGAGGAGAGAGAAAGTACTTAAATATAGGCAAAACATTATGCTTCTATTCATTGATTGACCAGTATTTGATTGTATAAGTCATTTTGGCAGAGCAAATATTTTATGACTTGCATTTGAACTTATCTCATGAACAATTTTCTGAATCATCTATTTTGACTGGGAATGATCTTGTCAATATAATCTGCAATGTTTGCATCCTAGACGTAATTGAATTTAACTATTACATAATCAGATGATACTGATGAATGTGGGGAAGGCACAATCTAAACTTTTAGATGGTTGCTTGCAGGATGATGAATTATGCATTTATTTTGTAATTTTTTTTTTCCAAATCTTTTGTTTGGCGTTTCTGTGCAAAATATTCTTGTTTCTGCTTTTGAGCTGTCTACAGTCAATTCATCCTTTTGGTGTATACAATAGAAATTTTCTTGGATGCCCTCAGCACAGTCCCTCTTGTTTGTTGCTTTAGAAAATTAATTGATTTTACCCTTCATTTGTGAAGAGCCGAGAACTTAAGCCTAGTCATTCTTTAATTGTTGTCTTTGTCATAGAATGTTCACTATAAACTTTACTGTGATCATCTTGTTTTAATTTATTATGAGGAAGTTGATTTATGACTGTTTTGACCCCTTAGGTTTGTCTTTACTCCTGAGAATTTATTGATTCTGCTATATACGATTTGTTGAATGGGACTGTATACTGAGATATAGGTATATAAATGAAAAGGGAGCTTTCCCAACAGCAGTGTATGACGGACTATTTTACCTTTAAATATCCTAATTATTTTGTGGATATACAAAATCATGTTCTAAAGAGAGGAAATTCGACTTGAATTGTTTAATGAGCTGGGAATATTGAAGGTAATCATGAAGAACTTTTGATACCTGTCTGTGGATCTTAGTAACATGTGCGCGAATCTCTTGCTCAGCTTGTCGTAATTTTGTTTTGACACAGTCAAGCGTTGGGTAGCTGGAATTTTAATTTTTTGCAATTTCTAGCAGTATTTACAATGTCCTCTGGACTAGTTTAAGATATTAAAGTCTCTGATGATTATGCAGCTGCAAATCATGTGGTCAACGCGCATATAACTGCCCTGGTTATTGTGGTCATATTGAGCTCGTTTCACCAGTATACAATCCCTTGCTCTTTCATGGGCTCTACAATCTATTACAGCGAATCTGTTTCTTTTGCTTTCGGTTCCGAGCCGATAGAGGAGAGGTATGTTAGTTGACACATGCACCATATTGTGCCATTATGATCGTCCTATTTGTTTCTCTTTCTGTTTCTGCATTTATATTCTGGTGGTTTAGTTTGTTTATATCCATTGCTACTTAAAATTCTTGATGTGTTTAATTTTTGCTTTAGGTGGATAGATGTGTATCTCGACTGAAACTCATTGCAAAGGGTGATGTCATTGGGTCAAGAAATTTGGATTCCACAGATTCACCAAACTTGGATGCCCCCGAGGACAGTGAAGGGAGCCATGTATCCCATGGTAATAGAAACCCTGGTGCTGAAATTCATTTGGAGCCAATGGAACAAAGCTCTTGGGATTCTTTTCAGTTTACCGAAGCTATGTCTGTTTTAAACAAATTTCTTAAGCCGCGGACTGCCAAGTGTCCTAACTGCAAAGCTAAAAATCCAAAGATCACGAAACCAACTTTTGGATGGTTTTAATCGGTATGTGCATTATTATCCATGGATGCTAAAAATCCGATGTTTAGTTTCCTTTAGCAATTAAGAATTTTTCTGCAATAAATTCCTTAGTTGTAGTGCATGATGTATGACAGCAATTGCTCTAAGATGCTACTCTTGTGATAGCAGAGTCCAGTTATCATAAAATTTGAAGTTAGTTATGAATCCTTGGTCATGTTTGGATAATAATAGTAATATTAAATAATAATAATAATAATAATATTAATAATAATAATTACTACTATTATTATTTTTATTATTATTATGCTATAACATAATGCATTCAGCAACATACTTGATATCTTCCGAAGGATGGAGATGGACTGAACTCTGAACAAATAAGTTATTTAATTTGAAGGGAGATTGTTTGGTAGTAATCAGTTACATTCAGCCAAACATAAACTGTTGAAAGGTTATCAGTTTTTAGTCGATTGTCATTTATAAAGAGAGTATAATTGCTGAAGAAACTCATCGCAATTGGGATGACTTAGATTTGGCCTCAACCTGCTGTTCAGGTAATTTAAAGTCTCTAACTGATCAGAGAACAGAAGCTTTAGATTTTGTCAGCAGTTTATCAAACTTGCACTGACATAGTTCTTGAGAAATCTTCTTGCTTTGTTCTGTTCCAGAAGTTTAGTCTGGGTAAATTTCGATTCATAATGTGTTCATCGTCCCTTTGGTGTGAGGCCAGGAGTATAGAGTATAAAATAAAGGAAAAAAATTTCTCCGTAAGCACAGACAGCTCGTCTTAGTGAATCTCATTATGAAGTTCTTCCTTCATAGTTCATGATGCTGGCATCTGTTTTTAGGCTATATCATGTATGGTTTCTAATGTCTTGGATAAGCACTAGTCCATGTATTTAGGATTTTTTTGATCTGAAGATAGGTGAAGTGGTGGAATGTAGAACTATGCAGTGTTGAGAAACTGTGATAATTCGACTTAGAAGTTGCATATATGCGAAATTAGGAACATAGGAGTGAACAAGTCTATGAACGGCGGCTTCACACTTATTTCACCACAGGGGATCAGGTCTTTTAGTTGAGGTTGCCTGGGTTACCTGTTCTTAATAAGTTTCTTTCTTCATATCCTATTGTTTTGTCCAAGTTGGTGGATCTACTGGGGTACTTTCATTTCCCGGATTATATTTGGATATGCGAATGAAATTTAACCATCTTTGCCTAATTAATAAACAAGTGAAAGCTTTTTTGTGTTTGCTCTGAAACTGGGAGAGTTTACCTTGCTGCTTTTACTTGTTTACTGTTTAATTTGAACAAAGTATTGACACTTCTGTTATGTCTACATTGTCGAACTCCCTTTGAACTTGCTATATCTTACTCAGTTCAACTGTTTTGCTTTACTAGGGTCTTTCAGGCGTTGAAATACGTGGGAACATAATTAAAAGCTATGGATTAGATGGTTTAACAGGTGGATCTGAAGAAAGGTCTGTCTCTGAAGTTCTGAATGATAATGACTCTGCATGGGAGAATGATCATGAAGCAGCAGAATCTGATTCCTTTTCCACCTTCTCTGATGGAACAAAAAGTTCCAGGGTTACAAGACCTTCATTTGAAACTAGTGTGTCACAGGTATTCCAAAAACATAAGAATACCTTTTCTGGACCTTTGTTACCAACTGAGGTATGCTTAATTTCAGCAGTTTATGACTGGAATTCTGTTAGCTGCTTGAATACGCCATAATAAAGTGTGTGCCGGATGTTTTGGTTTGTGCATATACAACATATGGCCTGTATACACTTCTAGCACATTTCATTGTTTCCTCCTTTACTTTGGATCTCAATAGGTGCTCTGTTCACCTGACAGGTTAGAGATCTTTTGAAGCATCTGTGGGAAGCTGAGGCTTCCATTTGTTCATTTATTTGATGTTTTTTCTTGACTCCGTTCTTGTACTGCCCACCAAATTTCGCCCTCCAGCTAAAGGGGGCGATTCAGTAAGTGACTTGAAATAAAAAATGAATGTCTCCTTTGATCAATTCGGTGTTTGAAGCAGATAGTAATTGTAGAACTCAAATCTATTCAGGTAATGGAGCATCCTTGTACTGTTCTGTTAGGCAGTCTAATATATCTTTACACAATGCTCACCTAAATCATGCTGAGCGGGATAAGATTGTTGGCCATTGGAACTTGGAAGGATCTTCAGCAATCTATAAATGTTTTATACAACAGTAAAACAGCTGTTGGTAAGTTGCTTCTCATATATGTTATTTTATTTTATTTTTTTTGCTGCTTCTTTTGCTTTAAGTGCTTTATCTGTATCGAAGATTGTGTCCACGACTTTTTGCTTGTAAATTTAAATTACAGGAGTTAGTGACTACCTGTATCTGTGCTCTAATGATGAGGATATCTTGCATATCCGTTTCGCCAACCGATTGTTTATTGTTAAGCAGCTATTTTTTTAAAGTTTGCTGCTTTTAGAGGAAACTTGGGCAACTATGAGCTCACGCATGTGTTCCTTTATGTTTATTCACTTCATCGTGCATAAGTGGCCAACAACTAGTTTTTCACAGTTGAAGTTTGGACAACTAAAGTTTTGTAATATCACATCTGCCATGTGAGGTCCATGCTGCATGATTTGGATGTCTCTTACCGTTTTTCTACTTATACAGAGATTGGTACCAGTTAGCAATTTAGTACATTTCATGCTAATATATCTCTGGATGTATGCCCAGATGTGCAATTACTTTTCGCATTCGCTTTTTTGTTTGTTTTCCCCCTCTCTTCTAATCATTTAAACCTAGCGATCATTTACGGATGGAGAAGTTTTCCTATATACCTAAACTATTAGAATTGAATATTTAATATCACCCTGACAAAATCTTTCTGTACGAAATGGCAGGTCAGAGTCAAATGGGAAGTGATGGGATATGCCTGTTCTTGGAGAAGGAGGGTATTTTCCGCCAGAAAATGATGGGAAAGAGGGTTAAATTTGCTGCTTCGGTCTGTTATTTCTCCAGATCCATATTTGGGAGTCAATGAAATCGGAATTCCTCCATATTTTGCCTTGAAGCTAACCTATCCGGAGGTATGTTTGATTATGATGCATAATATGGATGTATTATGAATGTACAAATCCTCACCATAAGTTGAAGTCTCCTCCCTAAAGTTGTTTGGACCTAAGTAAAAGAATGAAAAAATGAGGAGATTTTAGGTTTTGAGAAACTAAACTTCTACTACTTGGTTATCATCTCTGAGAACCTGTTTACCAACGCTTGGAACTACTTGGTCAGGTAGGTATAATATGCCTTGTTGGGCATGGTGTCATGGTTTTGCTATGACAAAATATATCGCTGTCAAACAGTAGAATAAGAAAATTTTAAATCCCGTCCCACCCCCACCCCAAATTCAATTATGGCTTCTGCTAGAGAAGAGATGTCTACATGATGCAGCCCCATATCTCCCTCAAACGGGCATTCAATTAAATAGTACAATCTACTTTTTGCTTGGTGATTCATTTGGCTAAATTAAGAACTTGTTATTGTGTATGATTTTTTTACCTTTGCAGAGATGAATTGTTCATGGGCTAGTTTGATGATGTATGATTCATCAATTTTGTAGTTATTTCTTGGGAGGTAGTTCCCAGGCCTCCGTAGTGGACTAAGGGTAATAAAGAAACAGAGAAACATTGAAGTATGAAAGTTGCAGAACTATAAGCCAAGGATTACAAATAAGGAAATCCAAAGAGAAATGACTTTTTTTTTTTTTTTTTTTCGCTGTTTCTAAAATATTCATTGTGTGTGTCATCGATTTGATTTCCAAAAGATGGAAAATCAAATTCTATAGATTCGTTTGGTCTGCATTTAAAATTTTTACTGTGTCTGCAGAAAGTTACCGCATGGAATCTTGCCAAACTAAGGAAGGCTATCATTAATGGCCCAGATATTCATCCTGGAGCTTTAGCATGTGCTGATAAAGTTTTTACCATTAAGCTTACCCAATCCAGGAAAGCGCGTTCGACTATATCTTGAAAATTGTTTTCTTCCAGAGGGGTTACTCAAACAGGCGAGAATAGTGAGTATGAAGTTGAAGGAAAAGTTGTTTATCGACATTTACAAGATGGAGACATTGTACTCGTGAATCGACAGGTGAGCACATTATTTGTGCATGTTCTTATGCATTCATCAAAATATACATTTTTGTTGAAATAGGGAAGGGTTTGGCTCTTTGTTGGAGCAGTGAAGTGTCTGTATGTTTCTTTCACTTGAGTCTTTGTATCATTTTATGTATTAGGTCTTAAGAAGTTATCTGCTGGTTGTATAGTTTCTTCTTGCTCAACTTAGTGGGCCTTGCCTCCGCCATCATAGTATTTAATGTATCATCAACCTTTAGATTCCGCTGTTGATATTTCCACAGATTTCGTTTTAGCTTAGTCTGCTAGTCTGTTAACTGATTTAAATGCTGAGCACAGTCGGTGTAAGTTTTTTCCTGTAAGAATAAAGATCTGTGGCTTTTTCTAGTTTATCAATCCATTAGGTGTGACAGTCCATAATCATTTAAATGAGATGCGCTTGTTACTTTGTGCTCCAGTTAACTTACTATCACCATTCAATTCCTGTCTTCGGGATGCAGAGCAAATTATTCTTCATTGTATGTTGCTGTAGTTAGGAGAGAATTATAAGGTTTGAGATTATGTCCATAACTGTTTGTATCAGGTTCATTCCGTTATTGTTACGTTGTTTCGTTTTATGTTAGATATAGTGAGTTATTATTTTTTAATTGAGTTATTCTGTGATTTGTTGCTTTTTGTGGTAGTGTTTAACATTTAGTGGAATGCAATTTAATCTGAGAGAGAAACTAGTGGTTTCGAGAGAAGGAATTTTTTTTATCATTAACGACCATTTCTTTTTGGTTACAACATGTGCAACGGAGGTATTTATGAAACCATGTTTTGTGTCCCTCTTATGTTCTGAGATGATAAAAATTGTGCTGCTGAATATGAATTCAAGGTTCTTATATACTGGTAAAGAGAAGAAATGAGATAAACATATTTTGGAAAAAATTTGTTTTGTGATTAGCCTATGCATATATACGAGTTCTGGACTAGTGTACTCAGTAAACAAGGCTATTGTGACATCATGGTCGAAGCTGTAGCATAATTAGTAAATCTGCCTAGTTAATTATGCCTTTGTTCCATATGAGAGTTGTTCTAGTCAGTAAAAGATACATATTTAATTTCTAAATCCTTCTCATGCTGATGTTGAACATAAACCACACCTCGAACTTCGAGAATGCATATTTAATTTTCACATCACAGATGTGTTTTAGGAGCGTCATGATGTTATCATTTACAAGGTTTTCAACCATTTCTGGGTGTCAGCCATTTGAAATACGGCGATTGTCATTCTAATTAGTAACAAAATTGTCCACTATTTTGAGTGTAAGACATTAGAAATTTAGATTATTAAATTTTCATTACACAGTTGTCTACATTCTTGGTGCAGGACATTATAAATTCAGATTATTTTCTTTTTTTGATAAGGAGTCTATCCAGATGTTTATAGACATGATTTAAATGATAATCTTCAATATGGCTTTTTTATGGTGAGTGTGCCGAGCCCCCACTGCCCAAAATACACACACACACACACACAGAGTAGCCACTTTTACACGAGTAATAATTTGCCAATTATGGTTCTGTTATTGAGTGCCTGTGCCCTAAGTAGTAGTAGTACTAATAGATCCTTTAGTGTTATGATAACGTTGTGCTCTGCTTTTTAATTTTTGTTGTGCCCTCTTTGTTGAAAATTAGTTCTCAAGTCAGGGTTTTGGTTGAGACCGTTACTTTAATCTCAAGCTCCAAGTCTGGTTTGGGCCAAGATATTTTAAGAATGAATTTTTTGCATGTATGCACATAGATTTTTTTTTTCCCTCTTTCTTGTTCTTATTTTTGTGCATTTGTCCCCGCATATTACTCCTGCTCATTGATTAATATCCATATCAGTATCTTGAAGTGGGTAAAGAATTAGGGATGTATTGTATATTTGCATTGAAGATGCAGTTTTTGATGATGTCTATATCAACTTGCAGCCTACCCTTCACAAGCCAAGTATAATGGCTCATGTTGTTCGTGTATTGAAAGGGGAGAAAGCTCTACGTATGCATTATGCAAATTGCAGGTTAGAAGTACCAAACATTAATCAATTTACTGTTATAATTTGTTCCACAAGCTAGCTAACTTACGCTTTTTTTGTTAACTCCAGTTCATACAATGCTGATTTTGATGGTGATGAAATGAATGTTCATTTTCCTCGAGATGAAATTTCTCGTGCTGAAGCTTATAACATTGTCAATGCCAATGAGCAGTACATCATTCCCACAAAGGGCGATACTGTCAGAGGCTTGATTCAGGTTTCTAAATTTTCTTCTGTTATTCTGTGGAATGCCTTAAAGGATAAGATTCATGAAATATATCATCTTTGTTTTCTCATATCCCTTTTTTACATCCCTTAAATCTCATGCTGGTAAACTATGTACCTGCAGGATCATATTGTCGGTGCTGTGCTCTTGACATTGAAAGATACATGTTTGACCAAAGATGAATTCAATCAACTTCTTTATGGTTCTCTTGCTTGTTCTGGGAATATTTCTGAATTAGTTTCTGAAGGTATTGTCCAGCCTGGTTTGCCTGCTTATTGGAAGCCGCTTTGCTGGACAGGGAAGCAGGTTAGTTAACGACAAGAATTTCCGTATGTATTGCTTCATGTGTTCATGTGTGATGAGGTTTGCAAATGGTGTCTAGAGCAGAATTGTCTAAATATAGATTGTGTACACCTTAATATAATCATGGCTTCTTTTGTTTCATTTATTTACAATTTGCATTTTTTACTGTTGGTGATTTCTGCACTGCTAAACCACTTGACAAAAGGGTGTGCTCCTTGTACTGTTGAAAAAGAGATGAAAATACCAAGGGAGTATCTCCCAAGTGAGACTGTCACAAACCAACCAAACAGTTTACTTGTTTGGAAAAATGAGTTGGTGTGTGGTGTTATTGACAAGGCTCAGTTTGGGCAATTTGGCCTGGTGCATACTGTACAAGAGCTATATGGGTCGAACACTGCTGGCTTCTTACTTTCTGCACTCAACCGTCCTTGTACAATCTTTTTACAGGTGTACTAGCTGTGCTTTATTAATACTTTTATTTTTTTCTTTCTCTTTTTTTCCTCCTTTTGGACTTTGACAGCATGTCTGTTGTTTGTTATTACATGTGTTTTAGATGCATGGCTTCAACTGTGGGGTAGAGGACCTAATAATACCACCCAGTTTCGATGATGAAAGAAAAGAGAAACTTGAAGGTGAAGATGTTGGTGAAGGTGTTCATTGTGACTTCGTCAAAAAAGGTCAAGCTTAGACAGTAGCATTGTAACTTAAAAAGTAGTTTCGTTAGTTCTTTTGTGCTCAATTTTTAAGACACACAAGTTGATTTTGAGCCTCGTAGTGCTTTGCATCACTGAGGTAAAGATTTACAGGACATGGAAATAACTCTTGTTTGTTTATAAGTGTGAACATCTATTTATCAGGCTAAAGCATGAGTTAAGTTGGGTTCAGATACTAAACATCTATTTTATCAGGCTAAAGCATGAGATAAGTTGGATACTAAGGATTGATGACAATTCAGGATATTCAAAGAAACTAAAAAATAAAATTGCTACACTGTTAACAATGATGACTATGGTGTTGTTGACATGTCATGCCATGTCATTTCATTTTATTTAAACAAATGATGTAGCAAACTAATGATCCGTGTATCTGGGCTACGTAACCAGGTTAATCATGCCCTATCGCGGCCACAGAAATGTTGGTTTAGTATGAGTATTTTATTGTATAATATTTTTAAAGAGTCTCTATTTCAACGCTGAAAGATGTTTTCTCATGGAATGTTTCCTTATCTTGCTTTTTGTAATTATTTTTTTGTGTTTGGATTCTTTTCTCTGTTAGTGCTACTATTATTATTCTGAAATGTCTGTTAGCAACTATATGTGTTTATACATATACTTTTGGCTTATCAGGCCCCTTAAAACTGCAATTGGAAGTTGAGAAAGTACTTAGCCGTGATAGAGAGTTTGCTACAGCATTATTAGACATGAAGATGAAGAATAAATTAACCGAAAAGGCCAATAAGATCAGCAAGGAATTACTTCGTCAAGGATTGTTGAAACCCTTCCCAAAGAACTGCATTTCTCTAATGACGATATGCGGTGCTAAGGGTAGTACGGTAAGTTGGTAGAATTTTGTGCAATTACTTTCTGCCTCTAGTGTTGCTTGTTTGTGGTTGCTGTATTTCCACGACCATGTTTCTTTTATAATCATGATATTGCCTGTGGCATAATGGCATAATTTTAAAGACTTTCATTTCACCGTACTTAAATCTTTTGATATTAACAAACACTCTTATATCAATCAAATCGCTCTTATTGATCATTGTACTCAATCTCTATTTCATGTAAGTATTTATCCTCTAGTTTGTTTAGGGTTTAGGTGTAAAATCTTTCTAGTCTTCTCTCATTTCTTGCTAGATGATTCCCAAAAATTGTAAAAGATTCTAGTACATCTAATTAATCATGAAGGCTTTCTATACTACTCCCTTTATCTAAAAAAATAAAATAAAATTCTAGTACAAAACTCAAAACTCAATGTAGACTATTTTTTGGGACAATTCCTTGCACTCATTGATTATTACTTTTATCTTTTTTTTTTCCAGGTGAAAGATATCACATTTCATCCTCATTATTTCAATGTACAATTTTGTAAGGTTAAGAAAAAAAAAGTACATGTAATTAAAATTTGTTCTCTCTCTCTCTCTCTCTCTCTCTCTCTCTCTCTCTCTCTGTGAATAGGTTGTGTTTAATTGCTCAGCTCGCAGGATGGGCACAACGGTAATTTGAAAAAAAGAAATAAAATTGCATATCAAGGAAGAAAAAAGGAATATTGCAGGATATTTTAAGAAGAGAAAGTAGATGTTTTTGTTGTTCTAGAATGTGAATTTAACTTTAATTAAACTTTTCTTTTTAATCTTTTTCTTTTTTTCTTTTCAGATTGAACACTTCTCATCTTGCTGGTCGTGGTGAAATGAATGTAACTCTTGGTATTCCACGTCTCCAGGAGATCCTGAAGACTGCTGCTGTTGTTATCAAAACTCCTGTTTTGACATGCCCATTCTTACAGTTCAAGTTCAAGTAAGTCTCTATGTTTACTTTTTTCTTTGAAAACAAAATTTTGTACTCTCCTTTTTAAGCATGATATTTGGTGGGTTTATAATCGTATTGAATATCATCTCTTGAAATTGGTCATCTACAGGGCTGATGCTCAGTCTTGGGTTGATGAAGCCATGAAGATCACTGTTGCTGATATCATAGAGACCATGGAAGTACATATTTTGCCACTCTCTGTGCACAACAATGAGGTGAGCAAAATATATAAACTTAGAATGACTTTCAAATGTCACAGCTTACTTTCCCCAGAAGATTGTGAGGAGACTCTTTCACATGGTTTCTTGAGGGGATTGGAGGATGCAATCGAAAATCATATTGCCCTGCTGGCCAAGATTAGTGGCATAAAAAATTACAAGTCAAATTCGCGCTCCCAGGAAAATGAGATGGATGAGGATGTTTCTTTGACATCCAACGGGAAGTAATCTGATATGGATGAGGATGGTGATGGTGGGGATGATGACAACGATGCCACTGCCGATGATCTTGGTTCTGATTCACAAAAGAGGAAACAGCAGGCTACAGATGAGATTGACTATGAAGATGCTTCTGGAGATGAGTCAGCTGATGAGAGTGAACAAGGAGTAGCTGGTGAGTCCAATGACTAGCATGGAATTGGAGAAGATGAGGAAATTGTCAATGTTGATTATGAGCATGCTTCTGAAATCCCAAATGATGAGAAGGAAATGTCAAGACATAAATCAAGCGATAAAATGGCATCATCAGCAAGTAAAAGAAGGAACAGATCGAAAAAAATCTTTGTTGGCAAGGAAACGGATAGACATGTGTTTGTGGAAGTCAAGGGGGGAAAGTTTGAGGCGCATTTCCGATTTACCAATGAGCCTCATATTTTGCTGGCACAGGTAGATTCAGTCTCATTTTGGATGCGTATGATTTTATTTTTTCTAAATGTTACACATGCGAAGAGGGAGTAGGGAACCTATTTGAGTGTTTGAGCCGTTCCATTGAGCTCAGAACAGAATAGCTACTGTGTGGGTTTCTTTATTTATATAAGGAAATTGGTTTATTGCTGCATGTTAGTTAGGTATGTAAAGAGTGACATTGCGTCTGGATCCAGCTTTTAGATAAATGCAGTTGCTCCCTTGTTTATGATGCTTCGCATAGCTTGTTTGTTTACTATCATTGTTCTCTTACCTGTCCATAGGTTCATTTTGTAGTCCAGGTGTTAACTTCTTGGCTTTCCTACACAGATTGCTCAGAGGACTGCAAAAAATGTGTACATCAAGAGCTCTGGTAAGATCAGTCAATGTAAATTGGTTGAGCATGATGTAAGTGAAAATTCAGTTATTTGGGATAAGGAAAAAGTCAAATTGAAGGACCAAATCGAGGATGAGTCTTATTGGGCACTGAAGGCTGCTGGAGTCGATTTTACTGCTTTTTGGGAAATGCAAGATGAGCTTGATGTTACAGGGGTCTAATCCAATAGTGTCCACGCTATGTTGACAACATATGGAGTGGAAGCAGCTTGGGCAACCATCATGAGAGAGGTGAAGAATGTCTTCGGCAATTATTGAGTGCAAGTTGACAGCCGTCATTTAAGCTTAATTGCAGACTACATGACCCATACAGGTGGCTACCGGCCAATGAGCAGACATGGATGTGTAACAGATAGATTATCACCTTTATCTAAGATGTCTTTTGAGACAGCTTCAAAGTTCTTAGTTGAAGCTGCATCTTTTGGAATGAGCGACGTTCATCAGCCAGAATTTGCCTAGGCTTGCCAGTCAAGATGGGTACTGGTAGTTTCGACTTGATGCAGCAGTTTGAAATTTGAAGACCAGCAGTTTTGCTATAATCGAGTGTGACAGAAAAATTTTGGAGGGTATTAGGTATATTAACACTATTTGTAGCTAACATAGGTTATGGTTTGCGAAGCTCCACAGACAGGTGCCTCTGCGTGTATTCCTGTAAAACACAGATACTATAATTTTGTTATGAGATCTACTACAGCTTCAACCAGTCCTTTTAAGACTGACATGTCTACTTGGCTAAAGGGGTTAAAAAGCTTTTGGGTTAAAGCTCGAATAATTGTACTCCACTTTTCGTCCATAGTTATGGAAGATAAATTTATTAAATTAAAATGACACATTTTTTGTAAATGACTTCTTATAATTTTTATTGAGCCGTGCGATTTCTTTGCATTTTGTTCTAGTATAATCTCACTTGTCGGTTTCGGTCAGGTGAAGACCCTTGAATGCCCAGTAGTTTCTACAATTTCTACAATTGGGACGCAAATGACTAATACTTTCCCTATAATTGACCAGAGGAAGTGAATAAAATATGAAATTTTTAATAGGGGAATAAAATATGAAATTTTTATGAAATTTATACTCAATGGAAAGCAAGGTAGTCTGATATACATACCAAAAGCACAGGAGGGTAAACAAATATCCAGCACGAATGCAAGACTCCTAAGTTTCTGATAATGGGATTTTCATTCTTAACAAAAAAAAAAAAAAACGAGCTTAATGTACAAAACAAAACATCCTCAGGAGGAAGATTCGGCACCATCATGGAGAGCACAGCATACGGTAGCTTTATGATGCCCTTGGTACACTCTGATATCTTCACCAGATGACATTGACCATAATCTTGCAGTGGTATCGGATGAAGCTGCAAGTTGAAGTTATGCAATGTGAATTCACCATCAATAAAAAAACAAAGAGAACAAAATCCTCAAGCATAAGGAAATCCAGAACTAGAAATGTGTTCTGTTTGAAAGATATTTTCCCCACAAGGACAACAAGAATTTTCCTCCCCGGGTGTGAACTAGAATTTAAACTAAAATTTAAGACTAATTCAGGCATTATATAAGCTTTCATGTACTCCACAAATCAAGTCAGTCTTTTAACCCTTGCCTGCAGCAAAATCAAACATTCTGGTCCTTTTATCAATGAAGACAGCATTAGGTTGAATTACATAATTTTTGTAAGCCACTATGACTGATTAGCAAGAGTACAAACACAGGAACTAAATGTATTGTCGGATCTGTTTGCTTCATACTCAAGAGTACCTGTGATGAGATAAGCACCGTCTACAGAGAACACACAATCCCATACCCAGCGCTGATGTCCTGAGATCCAAATAAGTAAGCCAAATAATTCAAGACTGCTTGATGAATAGGTCCATTCGAGTGCCAAAGTAGCATAAAGAAATTGAATCGGCATCCTTACCTACTAAGGTTTTCTCCAGGGTAAAACCATCAACATTCCATATCTTGACGGTGTGATCAGAAGATGCCGTGGCCAAGTAGCTGAAGTTCAGATATGTACGTATTATAAGCAAACATTAAGCATCTTCCTAAATAGTAAAACTACTGTAAGCATTCATATTCTGAAACTTTTACCGGTTAGGTTCACAAAACTCAGGGGAAAGGAGGCACTTCAGGATGTAGCCATCATGAGCCTGTAGCTTATGAAGTGGCTCAAAGTTGGTCATAGTCTGCAAATAAAAGACAAATTTCATGAGCATTTCTGTAGCATTTAAGAGAATATATATGTTTGTACAAAGAAGAGATATATTTATGAAGGTTTTACTGAATGACCTTAACAGCAATGTCAACTGCTATTACTAGAAAGTTCGTTCTAGTTAACCCTGAAATAATGTTTGTTATATAATATCACTGTAGTTTAGAGACATCTAATCAACTAAGATTTGGAATTACTAGAAAAATAAATTATCAAACTTAGTCAAAGTTGAAAGTAATTCTATTTGTTAATCTGTGTCTGCATACTACCACCAAAAAGATAAAGCGAAAAAGTCTAATGCAAACAGAATCACTATAGATTCAGAAATTTTTAAACTTTAACAGGTACCAAATTTAGGGCCAAAATTTTATTGTTTCTTACCATAGGCAGCATAAGCCTATGAATCATAAATAGATGCAATAGAGGTTACCTGATTCCCTCGCAACAAGCGCCAAACATAACATGTTCCACGATTGTTAGCAGCAACAACCAAGCTTCCATCCCACATTACGGTCAATGACCTCACAGCCGTATCCACTTCTGGAACCTGAGTTTTCAAAAGTAGTTGTAATTTGATAGGAAATATACATAACACAGAGAAGAAAATTTTCGAAATTAAGATATAAAGTTTTGATTCAGTTTAGCTACTTCATTCAAGTCCAAAGACTTCTCTGCTCATCTCTGTCAGCAGGTGCAAACAAAATGCGCCACAAAAGCCTTAAAGTTTAACAGTAAAATACCATGCTCGTGAATAATACAGTAATGAACTCTGATAAATACATTCAAAAGTGGCAGAACGTTGCTACATACCAACTCACAGCTGCATGAGTTTGCTGTCAAGTCCCAAACACGAATATTGCCATTTTGGTCTCCTGATATCAGCTCACTCTACGATAAAGCAGCAGCTCAAATGAGGAAGTGTAATTCTTTCTCTTGAAAAAGGAATACTAAATATAACAAGCAAAGGAAAACCAATCTTCCCATAGCCATTAGCAAGTGTTTTCGATCACTAATGGTATATGAGACGAAGAATCCAACTTAAAGATATACAAGGTAAATACTTCATTTCTTGATACAAAGACCGCATTGGCTGTAATGTATGTTTCTTATTTAAATAGAAAGAAATACAGGGCTATTCTATTTTATTCATGATGTATTTGAGTAAGTTCTTGCAAAGACGTAGAGTATTAGGGGAACCATCACGGGAATAGGTAGATGAATATCGATCAGTCAACATTTCGCTACAATTCACGTAATAGCTTGCAATTTCCCAAATAAATTCTGCCTTGTTTGCAAGCAGATAAAAACGGACAAACATTTCTGTCTACGTTCAATTAGGTGTGCACAGATAAGCATCAATCAAGAGTCAGATGAAAGCTAAGTATCAAGTACATCAGAATTTCAAGAAATTTTCCAGTATGGAGTCATAATCTGAGTGCAAGAACTCATGGTAAATGACAACAAGAATCCAACTCAAACATAGACAAGGTAAATGCTTCGGTTCTGATAGAAGGACACGGTGGGCTGTATATGTGTATGTTTCATTCAAGTATGCAAGGTAAAGCTTCACAAAGACATAAAGAATGTTCATGATGTATTGAATTACTCCTTGCACTTAGACTTTGAAGTATTAGGGGACTCATCAAAGGATGGGGAGCTGAATCAGCAACTGACCAGTCTGCATTTCATTACAGTTGACATCCTAATTTGCAGTTTCCAAATAAAGTCTGCATCATTTGAATGCGAAAAACAAAGGCCAAACATTTCTGACTATAGATAAACTATAATTTGGCATGTACAAGTAAGCATCAAATAAGAGTCAGATGAAAGCTAAATATCAAGTATATCTGAATTTACAGGAAAGCATCACTTTAATCAATAATCAATACATTGCTGGTTCTATTTGCAAAGTTCCAAAATGTAACTGACAAAAACATTCAGAATGAAGCCATGAAAGTCTCTCACAAACGACAACAGAGAGGAGAAAAATGTGTCCTCTTCAAAAACTCAATCCTAGTCAATATCATATACACAGGGAAATCAATCGCAAGAACCTAAGGTGATTAAATTGGTTTGCCAACCAAAACCCTGGAAACACAAGGACTAGTCACCACAACCAATATAAAAGCAAAAATTAAAGAGCTTCATATACAATACCTGATTCGGATGTAAAACAACAGTGTTAACAGCAGCACGACTTTCATATTCCCTCTGACATCCTGGAGCCCTGGGCATTCAAAATGGAAGTACTTCAAATATTGCAATTAGAAAAACAATAAACGCATTGAGACTACAAATGCAGGAATTTGCTTTCTCATAATATTATACCTCAAATCCCATATCTTTACTGTGCCATCTTCAGATCCTGAGTACATCCATCTTCCATCACATGAGAACCCCACTGCCATAACATTGTTCGTATGTGCATCACAACTCAGCAACTGCCACAAGATTAAGAATAAAAATCACATACACAGGCAAAAACAGAATGCAGAATCTAATTTTATTTTTTTTTAAAAAAAAGAAATTGTAGCAAAAGATGGAATGAAAAGAAATAAGGAAGGTCCTAGGAAGGTACAGGCTGAGGACTATTGGAATTAATATCAAAAAGCCGAATATGGGGATTTCCAGCTGCCGCCAAGTAACGTTTATCGGGTGTAATCTCAAGGCGATTAACTTGCTGAAAGAAAGACAGATGTCATTAGATTCCTCATGTAACGTTTCAAAACATCATCATTTGATTCCAAAATAGTCAAAAGGTAACAAGCATTGCAATGATTTATTCCATTTCTGAAGCAAAATATCTCAGTAAACAAGAACGGTAAAATTGCACAAGAAAGCACTTGATTATTCATAAGCTGGGAGTCACTGACAACCAATTTGGCATGAACGAATGAACATAACAAATGAGCTTCCAAAAACCAAAAACAAACACAAAACAAAAGAAAGCATTATAGTCTGCAATCTAATCAAACTTCAACACAAAATATGCACAGAAATAAGCTCAAAATCTCAAGAGATTATCAGAGGAAGATAGACTAAAGTGACGCAATTTCTGTTTTCCTAAAACATCAAGGTTCACTGGTTCTTTTGCTTATAACATCATTAATCTAACTTCCACACCATTCTCAAACGGAAAAAATAAAAAGTTCGCTTGTTATGAGCACGTAAATGCACCAACTGAATAATTTGGAGGGGAGAAAAAATCCAACCAGAAGAAACTTTGAAGGCTTACTGATTCAGGATACTGGATTGTCCGATAGCATCGCCCACTCTTTGCTTCCCAGAATCTGATTGTGTGATCGTAGCTTGCAGTGGCCAAGATTACTGATGGTTGAGTCATCTTAATGAACAACCAAAACCTTCTACCAATCACCAAACCAGAATGAACATCGACGATATTGAAAATCAAACAAGCTCCAGCAAAAGCGAATAACAACAAAAAAAAAATTTCAAAAAACAAATTAACATAAAGAGAGAAACTTTGCGGGAATTGATATAAGAAAACAAAAGGGTTGGTGGAAAACACGAATTTGATTCGTGGGTCGTCAAGGATTTTACCTGATAAAAGCTGTCTAGAAAAAATAATTAGATCATTGGTTGACTCCAAAAGGGTTTTATTGGGGTTTTAGTGTTATAATGAGAGAGGAAGATGAAGTGAAGAGAGGAACAAAAATGAATTTGTTCGTGATTTCATGACAATGGTTTCGATTCGATTAACAAAAAAACTCTCGCTTTGTCGCTCGTTGTTGTGTGCTCCTCTGCTCCTAGTAGGTAGTAGTACCGTGATACATAGTTTAATTTTAGTGTATTTATTTATGTTCGACACCCTCACAGATTCATTTTTTTATATTCGTAAATAATTAATAAAGAGGGGATTACTCTTGAGTAATTTGTATTAGGGGCGTAATAATTAAACAACTTTTGAAATAAAATCATTTGGTTTTTTTCATTTGATTTTTCAACACATAAATTAAATCTTTTAATGATGATAATATTTTAGTATCAATATAGAAAAAGTAATGTATTAAATGATGAAAAACTAATTATGTAGACTTTAAAAATAAAGGTTAGTACTCCTTAACTGTTGATAGGAGATTTTTGTTTTGTGTAATGTTAATTTTTTTTAAGTAAATTTTGTTTTTTCACTTTCATCTTAGTCGATTCCCCCCCCCCCCCAACTTTTAGTACTTTAATTAAATTAGAGTTAATTAAATTATTAATATATTTCGTATTAGCCAAAATTTTAAATTTAACTAGTGCTGTTCGGTCTCGCGCTAGTTCTTCTTCGAATCCTTTTAAACTATAGTTTTCGAATAAATCTTTTATGGTCTAAGAATATTTCACTTTACCCTAATAGTTAATGAAAGAGAGTAAAAATGGTTTTCGTTTTTTTTATTGAATTATGTACGAAGGAATCGAATGCGATTGGGTACTCTTTTTCGATTATAAAAGGGAAGGGTATGATGGATGCATCAATTGATATTATTTAAAAAATTTGTTAAAAATTAGCATAATTTAATAAATAATTATATTTTTTTGTTTTTCTTTTTTATTAGTTCTGTCGCTATCATTTTTTCTCCATTCATGTTCGAGATGATGTGTTATGATGAATATTAGTTAAAATATTTATCTTATTGAATTAATTTTATATAAAGTTATTAGATTACAATTACATATTTGTTTAATCATAAAATAAAATATCATAGATAATCCATTGAATGTGTTTATTTAAAATAGTTGGTTAAAAAGAATAAAATGAGTCTTGTAACAACAAAGTCGGAGATCTATTTGTAAACAATGTTGCGAGTGTTATTTCGTCGACCTCGTAGGAGGCATGATCAGCTCCTTTGGGACCTTGATATGTTTGTTATGTTTGTTTTGTTTTTTTAGTGTGTGTTTTTAGGTACTTTTTGTATTGAGAATATAAAAAAGTGTATTAAAAATGTAAAAAAGTATGCTGAAATGGGACAGTTATTAATATTTTAATTTAAAAAAACCATCAAGAAAATGAAACAAACAACTTCACTTCCTTTGTTTACCTTTGTTTCCTCGCTTTGCAATTTGATTAGGGAATATTACATAAGAATTGTGCTCTTTCACAAACTTAGTGACATTATCCTTGTGTATCATGGCTATCAAAGATCAAAAAACGGCCATTTTTTTGTTCTTAGCGACATTGTATTATTTTTTAGTTCTTGGTTCTAAACAATGTTAAGCTGAAAAATGTTAACTTAAGCATTGAAATCCTTTAATCATTTCTACTTGATTTCTATCGACCATACGGGCATGTTTTCATTTTGCTTGTGACTGATTTTATTTTTTTTGTTTATTGGGAATAAAAATTTTGTTATGTAATCACATACTACTTGCTAAAAAGTAATGCACAAGTCAAAACAACATATAATTGCCCAAAAAATGATTAGTGTTATGTGATCCGAAATCCATTAATCGAGCAGTTAATGTTATGGACAAATAATATCAAGCATACCTTGCAAGGTATACCTAACTAGTGTGTATCACAAACTTGGCAAAAAAAAGTGGTCATTTTATCCCTTTTTTGGCAGTTTATTCCCCAATTTTATCCCTTTTTTTTAAGCACACGTTTAATTTTAAATTTTTCTTTTTTACTTATCCTCTTACTTTTATATTATTGATTTTATGAGATTTTTTTTATCGATGATTTTATATTTTGGTAAAATTTAATATGGTTCATCATCGAGACTTATGAATCTAGAGAATCAACGGGAGCAAAAAATTTCAACTAATTAATAATGAAATTCGGAGAATTAAGCGTCAAATTTAGAAAATTTTGATGGATAATGATATTTGTTTGGATGAATAATGGTATACTTATCGATGAATAATGATGTTCTTATAGTGACAACGTTATGGACGAATAAATTTAAATTTTACAATGAATAACGATATTCACAAAGATGAATAACGAAGCAAATCTAATGAATAATGATCTCATCCTAAATGAATAACAATATTACAATGAAGAATATTTGTAGTTTTACAAGATGAATAATTTACTTTTAATGAATGAATAATATACCTTACTAGACTTTGATAACAAAAGTATATATTACAATGGGTTAATATTAGCAACTAAACTAAGAAAATTCTAATTATATATGATACTAGACAAAAAATGAACAAAAAACTAGTCATTGTTTTTAATATATAAGGTCTTGAAGGATTTGCCGATGTTCGATACACGTTATGTTGATTGTTTGATTTCAGCAACTCTCGCAAAATATTTGATTCCCGACCGATCGACTTCATCTTGATGAGCATTTCTTTGCTGCTAATCAAACAAAAAAATATTATAATAAGTGAGATTTCACATTTAATCAAAACTCTGTTAATCATCAATAACAATACTATTGAAGATAAATAATCATTTTGAAAATGATGAATAATTATTAAAATTACATGAATCAAATCTAGTTAATAACAATAGCATGTACATATTAACTGATGAATAACAACATTACTGGTGATGAATGACATATCTTTGCATGATGAATACACATATCTATGGAATGAATAACAAATATTCAAAGGATGAACTATTCAAATTCATGTGATGAATGATATACATTCATATGATTATATCAGATCACTCTTTAGATGAATAACAACATAGTAGAGGATGAATAACCATCATATTTATATATACCTAATCCAGACCAAATGCCTACAATGAACAGGATATTTAATGAATAACGTCTTAATAGACTATGAAAAATCATGATTAACATTATGACTAATCTTCAGATCTACATACACCCAATCCAAATCAAAATATCAACAGTGCACATATAACATGATGAATAACAGATTCGCAAGGGATGAATAATCACTTTTAGTGGGATGAATAAATCAGCATATCATACACTATATCTATGAAACATAAATTATATTTAATCAGAATAATGAATAATTATTATTACTTGAGACTCAATGTCGGAAAAATCAGAATTTTTGACGATTTCTTGCTCCAAATTTTTTATGAATAACCACTCATTACGGATGAATATTCTCCAAAAAAATACAACAACAAACTGATGTTCAATGACAACAAATTGATGAACAAATTAGACTAATGAATAATGCCCAGATCTATTATCGATGATGAATATCTCATTATCAACGATGAATAATGATATCGAAATGATGAATAATGCCCAGATTTATTAATCTCTTCTAAAATCAACAACAAGTCGATGAACAAAACTAAAAAATAAATGAACAAACTTTTTAAATCGAATGGACATATCTTAGATCTACATAACCCAACCCAAAAAACACACCAATTGTTTAAGAAAATAGTCTTATTACCTCTTTCTCTCTTCAGTCATCGAGTCGCTCTTATTCGAATTAGAGTACATAATCATGGCCCTCCTCATGAATATTTCAGAAAAAATATCATTATTAGAACTTAATACATGAAAGAAACAAGCAAAACCGATGAATAAAATCATATATTATCTTAATTCTCATATTCAGCAACGTATATTGTATACAAACTCACGGGATTTGATGCACAACCGGATTCCGTCTTGAAAAATACCGCCGACGGTTCTGATATCAAATTGCTACAGAGATGAAATTTGGGTTTTTAGGTTTTTTAGTTTGACGTCTTTGGATTGAATGCAATAGAAAATGGATATGGTTAATGATGGCTAATAATGAGGAGAAATATCAGGAATTGAAGATTTGAAATATCTTTTTTTTTTAATCCCCTTTTATTAGATGCGTGTTTTACAACTTAAGGTGTACCTAGGTGTTTTATATTATAATTGAATGTTATGTGCAATATAACAGGCACTTTACTTGAGGTCAAAGACTTAATTTCTACCTTTCACAAGGTTAGATAAAAAGATGGCAAACGGAGAAAATAAAGGCCAAAAAATGATGAAAAAACAATCAGAGAGTAAAAGAAGGAACACAACAAAATAGAATAAAGTTGGTATTATCACCGTAATCAAAGGTTGAACAAGAAATCAAGCAAAGCGCAAAATGAGCTTTTATTTGGAACATAAGTAGAAAAGAATGTGTGATACGTTCAATCCAAATTTCAGCAGGAAACAATCAGTTTAATGCACTCAGTAAATGTAAAAGAACACCAAGGTTTCCCTCAGTGTGACTTATGCGCATGGAAAGATCAGATTTGAAGCTGAGTAATGTGTAGCTCAAATAATGCTGTTGAATGACCGGCTTAATTAGTTCCAGCAGTTGGCAGTAGTCATGCACTTTTTTACTTTAGAGGATCTTGTTGCCGCTGCTGCTTGGCTTCTTCGACGATGAGTTGATGCAGAGGTGACCTTGCTGGTGGCAGTAGCATGGCCTCCCTTCCGCATGGCCTCAGATACTACAGACTCTGCCTGAATCAAAAAAGAAGCGTAGTTTGGGAGAGAAGCTTAGTAAATTCATCACCAACAATATTAACTGCTTATCTGGTTTCCAATCCAATCCAATCCAGACCCAAAGCCGAAACTCCTTAAGAAGCTCGGTGAAATCATCAACACTTGTCTATCTGAGTATGATGCTGAAGCCACTGAATTTGATGAGGGTGTGAGAATAAGGGTCAGGGAATACCTAGAAACCAGATTACAACGCCTTGTGCTGTACCCTACTTACCTATCATTACTGTCCGATATTCAGCGTGACACCTTGGAGAGATTCAAAAAGGCATTTAACTCTGCTTTGAGTAACAACATTCGAGGAGGAGGAAGAGATAAGTTTGCCAATGTGGCTTGCGTATGCACCGAGAAATTCATGGCTCAGTTTGACGAAGCAACTGCTGATGATAGCGCCCTCACCGGCCATGACACAGTATCGTGATGAGAGGAACTACTTGCAGCGCCGTATAGATGACTATGTTGCCATTACTCGCGCTCAAGAAATTACTTTGTAGGCTAAGAACCCTTTATCAATGCAAATTAGATGTATCCTTAGTTGAAAAGGTGACAAGTTTACTGCTTACTGGAGATCAAACAGATTCGTGGATGGCAATAGAAATAATTCTTAGAAGCGAAACAAAAACCGTGATTTCTGGCTTACATTCGGAAGTTGTTGGTTTTGGATTGGAAGAAACAGAAGAAGCTGTGCTGGATTTGGTCACCAAATTGGAATTGGAAACTCATGCCAGAAGCGTGGTTGTGTCAGAGGCGGAAAAGGAAGCGGCGAGAGTTCTTAGACACATGAAAGACAGGTTTTCGAGGTTGTTTAATTGTGATTATATTGTTATGCCGCGGGTTTGGACTGTGGACGAAGACATTGAGTCATTGAACAAAACTGCATGCTCTTCTGCACTGAAGTTGTTGTCGGTACTGGCTGTTGTTCGTTTGGACGATGGCGAGCCTCGTAACATCATTGAGAAGCGTCTATCTCGTGTTTTAGCCGACAGGAAAGGTGTGTTTTGTTTATGTTGTGTGATGATGATTTAGTTGCAACTGTGTCAATGGAGAAAGAAGACGAACACCACGCTCTAGGTTCAAGCAGTACTACTTGGGATGAGTTTCCTCCATCGAGGACCCTTATCAGACCTTCCAAGTGCAAATCCTTGTGGAATAAGTTTTTAGCAGAGACGGAGTACCATGTAAAGAAAGCATATTCTGCTCAGGCCGCTGCTCGAAGGCGGCTGGAAGGCGATGTCAAAGGCGATAGAAAGCCGTGTTCGAATTGCGGCCACTGCTCTCCTTAATGGTCTCGATTTTCCTCAGGATCATTTTGCCCCTATTTGGTCAAACCTTGTTCTATTTCCTGGTCCTGCTTTTCATTTGGTTAATCACACCTACTCCCTCCGTTCCAGAAAAATACGAAAAAATAATCGGAAAAATTTAGATAAAAGACAGTGGAGGACAAATAATTAATAAAGAGTGCACTTCTTTCGAATAATATGTATTAGGGGCATAACAATTCAACGTACAAACATGGCTTTACATATTAAGAAACTTATTAATATCAATTTAATTACTTTGAAAGTTTATTAATTTATTTTTTCGTAAGCTTGGTTAGTATCAGAATTATTGATTAAAAAATTAAACATAATAAATTTTGATTTTATTAAATTTTAATAATTTTACAAACATAAAATATATGATATTAATATTTTTTTGAAGAAATAATATTAATTCACTGTAAAATATCTTGTATGGCTCATTTAAATATAGGTTTTGGAAAAAGAATTTAGGCAATATTGATTCATGTGAAAGCAAAAAATTATTTACTTTAATAAAATTAACATTATATGGAAAAAAATAAAACCACTTAATACAAATTAGAAAATATTAATCTTTATTAATTCAACATATTTATATTATTTTCATATTAATATTGAAATATTATCATTTATACACTTTGGTTATGTGTTAAAATCAAATGAAAGAAAAACAAAACCAAAAGATTTGATTTCAAGAGTTAGAGTCATGTTTGCATTGTTGCATGATTATGCTCTTAGTACAGATTATCCAAGAGTGTAACCGTCTTTATTAATTACTCCCCCTGTCCCAAAATTATTGTCCAGTTTGAGATTTCACTTTTAGTACAATTTGAACTAAAAATGAAAACTCAAACTGGACAATAATTATGGGACGGAGGGAGTACTTTTTATCTATTGCCTTTAATTCAAATTTTTCCAAAATAGTCCACATCGAGTTTGCAAATTTATACCAAAACTAGTATAAATTTTAAAATTCAATTGAACTTTTTTTTTTTTGAGACACAAAGAGTAGTATTAATTTATCTAGTTTTCTTATGAAAGGTCTATATAGTACCTAGAGATGGGGTTTTTGGATCATTTGATGCGATGTAATAGGACTTCTTCTCTTCAACATACAAATTACATAACCCTTGCTTATTTTCTTTTACACAACGTGCAATATATAACTCTTTTCCAGATTTATCAATCTCCTTCCAACATTAAACTACTAAAATACTCTGACATCATGTGTGACACGAATGTGGCGTAAAGAAATCTATACCGTAAATATATGTAGTATAAAAAATCAATTCTAGTTATCAACTTCCTTTGCGATTGTACTGGTACTGTGGTACATCATATGTAATCGAAAGAGAATATTCTCCCATTTCAATGTGTCATCGCCGAAGAAGGAGGGGGAATATCTGTAAGTAAAATCATCATAAATAATATTTAGAAAACTTAATCAAGAAAATAGTGATTTTTTCTAGATGAAAAAGAAAATAGTGATTTTGATAATAAATACAAACCCTGCATAAATAGCATTACTGATGTGAAAATCCGAAGGACGACAAGTGTAACATATATTTATTTTTCCTTGGACCTAAAGAAATAAACAGCTACTAAATTTGTCACCTTATTTTTTTTTTTTTACGCGTCTAAAGAAAAGCAAATACAGAAAATCAAAGCAAAAATAAGGGACCTCTTTAATTTCCTTTTCTTTTTTTTCTTTTTTTTTCCTTTTCAGTAAAATTGTGTCAACAGAAATTGTCCAGCTCTCATGCACGGATAACCTTGCTGGCTTAATACCTTGCTGACAATAAGCTAATTAACAGCATTAATTCTTACAGCGAAATTTCTCCCCAAGTTGGCACATATAACTTTTGTGTGATGAAAATTAAAAGCTAGCAAATTCATGTATTTGTTAAATTAATGGAATTTTACCCGTATAAAAAGGCAATCAAATTCAGACCTTTAGTTTTTGTTTTATGTTTTTGTGACAAAAACCATGTCTAGTGTGGATGGTGTTGACCTGGTGCAGAAGGAAGGCATTACTGATCATCAGTCTGCTGAAATAAGCAAAGAGCCTGAATTTCATCCTCCTCCTCAGCAACAGCTCAAAAAGAAGAAATTTTCATGGCAAAATATCAGAAGGATTGACTCTTTAGATGTTGAATCACATAAATTTCGTCGTGGTTCAAATGATCTTCCTGGATCAAAGGTAAATTCATGAATTTTGCATTATCATGAATTTCATGTTAAGTTTCTCTTGATCATGTTATAGGGGTCGATTTTTAATTCAACTAGTTAAGCTTAGTTTGGTTTATTCCTTCTTTACAAAAAAAAAAAAAAACTTTCAACCCTTTTGCGAAGACATAATTAAGGATATAGAGCACAGCTTCATTTAATTTGTTTGGCAATTTTGATTTTTAGGATTATTGCTGATTTGCGATTGATTTTTTTATTTTTATTTTATTTTTTTGGTTTCAATGAATATTGTTTAAGAATGGAGGAAGTTGGGGAGTAATATTAAATCTTGCATTCCAAAGTATTGGGGTGGTTTATGGAGACATTGGGACATCTCCTTTGTACGTTTTCTCAAGCACATTTGCAAACGGAATCAGTCACAACGATGATATCCTTGCTGTTCTCTCTCTGATTTTATACACAATCACCTTGATCCCCCTCATCAAGTATGTCTTCATCGTCCTTCAAGCAAATGACAATGGCGAAGGTAACCAAAAAAAAAAAAACTCAATTTAATTCGACACTTCTTTCGTCTCATAATTATATTAGTCTTATTTTGTTATTATTATTATTATGGTTTGATTTTCGTAGGGGGGACATTTGCTATGTATTCTTTGATAAGTCGGCATGTGAAAGTCGGTTTAATCCCAAGCCAAGAATCGGCGGATGAAGACGTTTCGACGTTTAATCATCAGCTGGAAAATCAACGACGATTGAAGAGGGCAAGCATGTTTAAATCAAGGCTTGAAAACAGCAATTTTGCCAAATTTGTTTTGTTGTTGACAGCAATGCTTGGCACATCAATGGTCATTGGTGATGGCATTCTTACCCCTTCCATTTCAGGTATCTTTACAACTCATACATTCATGTAAATTTATTACAAAAATATCTCATAACACCATTGATCACCCTCAATTTGTTCCTATAATTGATGTTGTTTCCAAATTAATTAAACCCGATAATACAAAATTAGATGATTTTTTTTTCGCATAATTTTGTGACTTGTACATATGTCATTCGCTTATTGATGATTGACAGTATAAATATATATATAATAAACGAGTCAGAAGAACTTAAACATACGTAGATAAGTAAAAATCACTATCGAAATAGAAATAAATGGCTCGTCAAAATTACACTACATGAATAACTCGTCTAACGTACATATCTTTTCTTGTGTAGTTCTATCAGCAGTTGGCGGGATCAAAGAAGCCACTTCTGCCATGACAGAAGGTATGGTAACCACATTTTCATTATAACTTAAAGATGACCATTTTGTGCCAGCTACTAAAAAAACAAAAAAAACACAGCGTAGATTGCTTTTTTTTTTTTGCTTGTGCAATAAGAATGACTTGAAAATGTAAACTCAAATGAATTTTAATTTTCTACATCATTAGGTAATCTTTCTGCCATCTACTTGAAAATGTATAGCAAAATAAAATGCCACAAATGCAGTAACAATACATAATTATTTTTCATACCTTACCATGTATTAATAATGTGCGTAATTTGGTGATTATATCACCTTTCATCAGTCGTAATCTCATTTCAATGACACACCGTTGTATCATCGCCCTTCATGTATGCATTTGTGTTTCTCTCAGGTAGGATAGTATGGATATCAGTTGCCATTCTGGTCAGTCTATTCATGTACCAAAGATTGGGCACTGATAAAGTTGGCTACACATTTGCTCCCATCATCTTAATTTGGTTCATTTGCATTGCTGCAATTGGGGTTCACAATTTCATCAAATATGATCCCATGGTTATAAAGGCACTCAACCCCAAATACATCATTGATTACTTCAAAAGAGACCAGAAAAGAGCTTGGATTTCCCTAGGTGGAGTAGTTCTCTCAATCACAGGTCATTTCAATTTCCTCTAAACCCCTTCATTACATAAGCAAATTTAATGTTCACAACTTTTGATACTTTTAAACTGAATGAAAAAAAAAAAAAAATTAAATGCAGGAACGGAGGCATTATTTGCTGATGTTGGACATTTTAGTGTTCGATCCATACAATTAAGTACATGTGCCGTGACTTATCCTGCACTTATATTAGCATACGCAGGACAGGCTTCTTACCTTCGTAAGAACAATTTAGATGTTGCTGACACATTCTTCAAATCCATTCCAGGTAAGAGAAAATGAAATCTCATAATTTTAATGGTCCACTTTCTTAAACCAAATTTGACTTTTTGTTGCTGTAGTTGATTTGGTAGTATTGATTGGATGCTGAAATTGTTTTGATGCAGGGCCGGTATATTGGCCAATGTTTGTAGTGGCCGTCTTGGCCGCAATCATAGCCAGCCAAGCTATGATCTCAGGGACATTTTCCATAATCCAACAATCACTTTCATTGGGTTGCTTTCCCAGGGTGAAGATTGTTCACACATCAGCCAAATATGAAGGCCAAGTTTACATTCCCGAAATCAATTACCTTCTCATGGTGGCTTCTGTTGCTGTCACTCTTGGTTTCAGGACCACAGAGAAAATCGGCAATGCATATGGTAAGAAATCAAATGGGTTCTTAATTTCATCTCATCAATAGTATGTACCCATCATATCCGGACACGATTGATGCACAATAAGTAAAACTGACGGATTAAGTAATTTAATATACTTTGCAGGGATAGCTGTGGTTTTAGTGATGACACTGACATCTTCATTCTTGGTGCTGATCATGATCATGATATGGAAAACAAACATTTTTCTGGTGATTTTGTATGTTCTTGTGATTGGATCAGTGGAGCTTTTGTACCTAAGTTCTGTTCTCTACAAGTTTGATCAAGGAGGTTACTTGCCATTAGCCTTTGCATTCTGCCTAATGTCCATCATGTTCACTTGGAACTTTGTGTATCGAAAGAAGTATTACTTCGAATTAGATAACAAGATCTCCCCTGAGAAGCTTAAAGAGATAGTGGTGAACACGAATTCTTGCCGGTTAAAAGGGCTCGCGGTTTTCTACTCGGAGCTTGTTCATGGCATGCCACCAATCTTCAAGCATTATGTCCAAAATGTGCCCGCAATCCACTCTGTCTTGGTGTTTGTATCCATCAAATCATTGCCAATCAGCAAAGTTCCTATTGAAGAGCGGTTCCTCTTTCGCCGGGTTAGGCCTAATGATCTGAATGTGTTCCGTTGTGTTGTGAGGTATGGGTACACGGATGCTCGCAACGACGGAGAACCGTTTGAAACTTTGCTGGTTAAAAAACTTTGCGAGTTCATAAGGGAAGACTATTTAAAGTTCTCCAACGATGTGGAAGAGGAGGAGGATAATGTCGTCGATGGATCGAGCATTGGCGAAAGGGTCGACGGACAGGAGGCGGAAAGAGACATTGAATTGGTGGAGAAGGCTAGTGAAGCTGGCATTGTTCATTTTGTAGGGGAACATGAAGTTGTTGCAAGAAATGGAGCTAGTTTGGGGAAAAGGATTTTGATCGATTATGGATACAATTTCTTGACTAGGAATTTGAGGCAGAGCAATGAGGTCTTCAATATTCCTCAGAAAAGAATGCTAAAAGTTGGAATGACATACGAGTTGTAGAGTATACAAGCTAGCTCTATATACATCGCTACTAGAAGATAGCTAGCCTTTAGTTTGATAATATACATTAAATTTTTAGCACACAATATATAGTTATTAAGTTTATTCTTTTGTTAGTTGATAAAATGCGTTTACCTTGCAAGAGAGATCATAGTATTTGCACTTATCCTTAAATGGTTGAATGTGGAAAAACGACTATGATTATTAAGTACATCTACAATAAGATTTATAAAGTTTTTTTTTCCTTTTTCTATTACAAAGAAAGGAGGCTGACGAATAAGCTGCTATTATCACATTAATTATATTCCAATTATGGTTTAAACCCGAGGTTCAAACCACTGTAATTATTAGGAAGAAAGTTAATTGTGGCGTGTTCAATGACCACTTGAACTGAAGTCTATTATTAATGCACTTCACCCAAAGTGGTCGCTTGTCCAAATGATTGATGCTTCAAATTAAAAAATAAAAGATAAAAAAGATTGAAACACAAATACTACTACTTAAGAGATAAGACAAGATGAACAATTAATCAAACTTATGGGTGAAGTGTGGAGTTTAATACTGCTTACACTGACAATTTGACAATCATAATTAGTATCTACCTAACTAAGTGTAATCAATTCGATTATGGAAGGAAAAAAAGAACGCCATGGCAAAATATCAGCGTCATTGAATTTAAAACATCATTTGGTAGTTCTCTTCTGGAAGGCCCCATGTAGTTCATAACTGGTGTAATAGTTAGTTGGGTTAAGGCTTTCCAGCCCAAGCAAAATCAAAGATAAATGCATCACTAATTTAGATTCTAAAGCAATTATGAAACCTTAAAATTGACTTGTCAATAACCAGATATTGAGTGTTGGGAGACGTTATGTATTAAAGGGAGGAAAAAAACACACACCACATACAGTGAGTTCTCTTATTCTTTATAATAAATATAATTACTTTGAAATGGTGTTCATTCTGGTGGAGTTAGTTCTGTTGAATGTTGATCAGGATTAAAACAAAATGGTTTTAAATTCTTGCTCCGTGATAACATATATAGAGACAGACATTCAAATGAATAATTCTATTTAATAGTTTATGACCATTTTTAGGGATAAAGCATTATAATTTTTCATTTCCATTCACAAAGCTCAAATTTGAGGATTTGGTTTCACTCAACAAACCTAGCTAGAGGCGTAGTGGGTGTTAATTAATGTTAATTGTAGAAATATGTGTAAATTAAATAATTTAATTAATTTCGCATAAAATGTAACACAAAAAGGTCATAGAAAATCCTATCCAAACATAATTGTATTTTGGTTCAAGTAACTTACATAAGAATTCCCATTTGAACCAAACATCATATTGGACAAGAATATCCCCTTTGAAAGAAAATATTGTACACTATATATAGTCCTTCAGCAGGCTTCCATATTCGGTCACAAGCAAACTGTTACTCTCTTTCATGCAACCTAGCTACAAAACAACAATGAAGACTTCAACAAAATTCACAGCCATTTTTGCTCTCCTCTTCTTCCTTTCACTTCCAAATTCATCTATTGGCTCATCCAAGTGCCATTCCGATGACAAAGCATCCCTCTTGAAGATCAAAGCAGCCATGAACAACCCATCTTTTTTAGGCACGTGGGATCCAAACTCGGATTATAGTCCATGGTCCGCTTTAGAATGTGACTCGTCCTCCGGCCGTGTCATCTCCCTCACGATCTTTGACGCCGAAATCTCCAACCAAATCTCCCCGGCCATCGGTAACCTTTGGCACCTCTAAATCATTGACATAAATACCCTCACGGACCTCATCGGAACCATCCCGCCTACCATCAAGAAACCTACCCATCTCAATTTCCTCCGGCTTAAGAGCAACAATACTCCGGCCCGATTCCGCTATCTCTTGGAAAACTCAAGAGACTCACTTTATTGAACTTGTCGTTTAATCCCTTCAGCGGCCCGATCGATTCCGACATCGGTCACTAAACTGACAAACCTCGACGTGTTTCACTTGAAAAAAAATAACCTTTGCAGAGAGATTCTGCAAGGTGGAAAGCTTCAGAGCTTTGGACAAGTCCTTATGATAATAACAAATGCTTGTGTGGTGCTTCTAGAAGAAAATGAGAATTTAGAAGACAATAAATAATTGAGTTCAGATGAATTGAAGGATTACATTGCGACTAGTTTGAATACCAAAGACGGAGATAGAAGTCATATTCATAGGCTTTCTGTACATGATAATTAACCTAGTTTAACTACTAGATATAATAATAAAAAAAATAAATTATCAACTACTCAACACTTATCATTCCAGACCCTTATCTATCCTCTTTTGATATTATCTCCTTCATGATCATTATCTTTAACATCCTCCCTCAAACTGAGTCGGGATTGGAGACACGGTTTATTTCTTGAGTGATTCTGACCATATTTTGGGTTACTTTTCCTGATATATGAATGGTGAGAATGCGAGTGGCTTACTATGTGTTTTTAAGTGGTATGCTCAAATTGTTGACTGATAGAAATTTTTGAGAAACGAACCATATCGATTCCCATTGTTGTGTTAGATTATTGTATGATAAGTCTAACCTCTTCTTCTGAGAGGAGATCGAACGTTTGCCGTAATGTGAATTTTTGTAGATAAAAATATTTTTCTCTTTGTCATCTACGTTTTTTTTTTTGTCAACCACAGAATTTTTTTGATTGACATGGGACTTATATGTCAACAATTTTTTCCTAAAGCTGGCTTTGAGTAAATCCAAGAGGGAGACCTGGGATGGAGTTTGGGACTTTTAAAATTGGAGTTTGAGTCAGGGATTGGTGATGTCAACGATAATGATAAATAATACAATGAGGGTGGGTAATGATTTTTTGTGGTGGTCATGGTGGTGATAGGGAGTAATTTTGACGAAGAGCAATCTTGATCTGTTTGGAATATCTAAGGACATGGAACATAGATGTGAATAGAAGACTGATGGTTTATTTCTTGAAAGAAAAGATAAGCGGAAGCATGGCACAAAAGCAGGGCGGAACTTGCTCTGATACTTGGTAGACGGTCGTTGATACCTCCAAAAGAAATATTAACCTATTCAAAACCAATAGCTAGCAGTAAGTAGGGTCGATCCACAGTGACGGCAGAAAATCAATAAAATCTGACCTATGTACAAACAAAAACAAGTAAACTGAACAGATTGCCACTTGGGAGAGTGAGAAAAGTCACTTGACAGAGTGAGTAAGCAGTAGGGTTGTCGTCCTTCCTATCTATATGTTCATATTTTGATCCATTGAAGTTCTTTTAGCATATGAGTATTGTCTAATCAGGCGCTCGTATTCTCTACCTTCCCTTCGTTACCTGCAAAGAGTCCTGGAACACTCCACATTACCTACCTCACATTGGTAATTGTTCATGATTCTGAGCCATTAATTTATTAAGCCTTATTGATCACTTACGCCAATCAACTAACTCTCCTTGATGACTGAAACCAAGGATTGTTCTTTCTGTAGTCATAGACTAAGTTAAGCGATTCTATAATGATGTTCACCCTCTCAGGATTTCATAACTACGTATGCACAATTAACTAAATGGTCAATTTAATGAAAAGGTTAATTCAATCACTTAACTAGATACAATAACTGATATAAGAACTTGGGATCAAAACATTCACATAAAGATAGTAGGGATTAGACCCTAAAGAAAGTTTAGCTACTCATGTTTATTGAACTAAACATGAGAGCAACAAAATACAAAAGTTAAAACATGATAAAGCTCAAAAGGTTAGAGGACATAATTAGAGAAGAGAGGTAGTAGAGCAGGTTCCGTCTACTCACTTGGGGAGGTGTACTTCGTCACTTACCTGAGTGACAGGCTGCACTTTTCCGCCAGCTACTCCTCTGAGTTTTGTCCTAACTAACACGAACTAACTACTCTTTTAGGACTGTTCTAACTACCCAATATGTTGTTTTTCACTTGCTATTGGTTGTCCTATTTATAGAGAATTGGAGAAGCTTGGATTGGTTGATTCTTCTGGCCTTTCTTCTGTGTAGCAGAGAGGAGTTGGCAACTTGCAGCAGCTAAAGACTTTGTTTATTCAGCAACTTATCCAATTGCCAAGTTGATGTCTTCTCTTTAGCAGCTCTTTTTCCTTCTTCAGCCGCAATTATCCACCTTCTTCTCATCATTGCTTTTCTTCTTAGTCTTCTTCTCTGGCACTTCTTTACCAATTTCCAGGCACAATCTCCATTTCTTCATTCTTTAATCCTCAGCAGCAGCAATAATAGAGCAAGCAGTAGCATTAGTAGAATGCTTTCCTTCCATCATTATGTTTCTTCCTTTTCAGCCCCCAATTTGGCTTCCAATCTTCTGCTATTCTTTTCCTTGTTTCCTGGGATCACTTGCAGCTCCATTTCTCACCTCCAGCAGCAGCCATTCTTTCACTTCAATCAAACAGTAGCAACAGGTGGCAAGTAGCACATCAGCAGCTACTATCTTCTACATATTCTCCATCTTTCTCTTCTTCCACTTGCAGTAGCAGCAACTTGCACTGATGGTGGAGCAATTCCTTCCTTTGGCAGCAAGATTTCAGCTCTGATTCTTCCTGATTGTCAGTAGCATCAGCAGCATCAGTAGTTGCAGCAGAGCGACTGCAAATTCTTCTTCTTCATTTGGTCTTTCTACTGCTCAGCTCAATAACTTATGATCAGGCTGCAGCCAATTCTACTTCATCAATAAGAATTCCTTCCCTTGATCAGCTCCATTTGCTCTGTCCAGCCCTCGATTTCCAGCAGCTCCAAATCTGGTCCCTTTTGATGCACTTTTATGCAATTTGGCCCTCATTTATCACAAAACTCCACATTGGCCCTCTGATCATCCTGGAATACAAAATTAACCCAAATAAACTAATTCTACTAAATTGACATTAATTTATATGTAAAAATGAGTAAGAATTGCTTGCTAAAACTAGTATAATTTCAGTGTTATCAGATGCGTGGAAGCTCTACATGAGTGACTTGGA